GCCCCCGCCCACCTCCACCGCTCTTCAGGAAGCCAAGGAGGCGCTGGAGGCCAAGGAACGCTACATGGAGGAGATGGCCGACACTGCGGACGCCATCGAGATGGCCACTCTGGACAAGGAGATGGCCGAAGAGCGGGCCGAGTCCCTGCAGCAGGAGGTGGAGGCGCTGAAGGAGCGTGTGGACGAGCTCACCACCGACTTGGAGATCCTCAAGGCCGAGATTGAAGAGAAGGGTAAGGGCCAGGAGCAGCCGGGCACCAAGTGGCAGGGTCGGAACCTTGTCTGAAAGTGTCGATGGTCTTCCCCAGGCTCAGACGGGGCTGCGTCCAGCTATCAGCTCAAGCAGCTCGAGGAGCAGAATGCGCGCCTGAAGGACGCCCTGGTGAGGTAGGGCCCTCTGCTGCTGGGCTCGCCCGGCGGCCTCCAGACGTGTCAGGGCGGCCATCACGCGGGGGCTCTGACGCACGCCCTCTTCTTGTCTCTCCACTTTCCCCCAGGATGCGGGATCTTTCTTCCTCAGAGAAGCAGGAGCATGTGAAACTCCAGAAGCTCATGGAGAAGAAGAACCAAGAGCTGGAAGCTGTGAGGCAGCAGCGGGAGCGGCTGCAGGAGGAGCTGACCCAGGCGGAGAGCACCATCGACGAGCTCAAGGAGCAGGTCTGGGGGCCCAGCGCCTTGCCCGGGGCGCCCCTGCCGACCCCCCGCTGGCCTGGGGGGCCCCCGCCGACCCCCCTGCTGGCGCCACCTCTGGGTGCTGTCTGGGCCCCTTTCAGCAGCCTCCTCCCTGCCCCCTCCCGGTTACGCAGGTGGACGCCGCTCTGGGTGCTGAGGAGATGGTGGAGATGCTGACGGACCGGAACCTGAATCTGGAGGAGAAAGTGCGGGAACTGAGGGAGACCGTGGGCGACTTGGTGAGAGAACAGCAGCCCCCTGACCTCTGACCCTGGGGGTTGGGAGGGGCTTACTGAGGGATGGACTGACCTGTGACCCCTGACCTTGGAGCAGGGCATGTGGTGAGTGAACCCGCCCAGGCCTGTGCCCTCCCCCCGACTTTCCTTCCCCCGCCTCGCGGCCTCCCAGGAAGCGATGAACGAGATGAACGATGAGCTGCAGGAGAACGCGCGCGAGACGGAGCTGGAGCTGCGGGAGCAGCTGGACATGGCGGGCGCGCGGGTCCGGGAGGCCCAGAAGCGGGTGGAGGCGGCCCAGGAGACGGTGGCAGACTATCAGCAAACCATCAAGAAGTACCGCCAGCTGACCGCCCACCTGCAGGTGCCTGGTGCCCCTGCGCGCTGCCCGCGGCCGTCCCGGGCGCCTGGGGAGCCGGCCGTGCCTCACCGTCTGTCCCGCCCCAGGACGTGAACCGCGAGCTGACGAGCCAGCAGGAGGCATCTGCGGAGAGGCAGCAGCAGCCGCCGCCGGAGACTTTTGACTTCAAGATCAAGTTTGCTGAGACGAAGGCCCACGCCAAGGTCAGGGGAGGGGGTGGCCGGAGACGGCTGAGTGCCGGGGCGCCAGCCCGGGCGCGGCTGTGCGCTGACTTGGCCGGGTTTCTGGGCTTCAGGTTCCTGGGTGGGGGGGGGTTGGAAGCCTCCTGGCCTGGGCTTGTCCCAGAAGCAGGGCACGGGTGGAGCACGGCATGGCGGTTACGAGGTTCTCTCCAGCCTGGCCGAGAGCCCACCTCTTTGTCTGCCTCACAGGCAATTGAGATGGAATTGAGGCAGATGGAGGTGGCCCAGGCCAACCGGCACACGTCCCTGCTGACAGCCTTCATGCCCGACAGCTTCCTTCGGCCAGGCGGGGACCACGACTGCGTCCTGGTGCTGCTGCTCATTCCTCGTCTCGTTTGCAAGGTACAGTCTCCATCACATGCTCCTCTGGAGTCTGTCGACCTTGCTCTGAACCGGGCCTTGTGGATGCCAAGGAAAGGCAGCAGGCAGCGCTCCCGCTCACAGAGTTCGCGATGCAGGGAGGAGCACAGTCAGCAGGGGCCCAGGCAGACGTTTCTTACGCGTGGCGGGTGATGGCGGGGAGGCGGCTGCTTTGAGAGAACACAGCTGGGGATCTGACTTACATAGAGGGACGTCACTGAAGGGATAACGCTTGAGGTGAGACCCAGAAGATGGCTACGAGTTAGTGGGGAGATAATTGTTAGGAGAACGTTCTAGGGAGAAGGGCAGCAGGAGCAGCAGCCTGAAGGCTTGGGAAGGAGCTTGATCCCACTGGTCCTGCTACCCGTCCATCCCCACATCCCAGATCCCCAGGACCACCGGTGACCACGTCAGTACCCTCTCCCCGTGTACGGCTCCTTGCCCATCTGAGAACTGTCTCTGCTTTCTCCCTCACGTCTCCGTGCCCCGCGCGTAGTTGCTCAGCTCCGTGTATTCCTAAGTCTGCGTTCTCCGTTCTCTGCCCTGAGCCCCAGGTCTCTGGTGCTTCCTCCCACAGGCAGAGCTGATCCGGAAGCAGGCTCAGGAGAAGTTTGAACTAAGTGAGAACTGTTCACGAGCGGCCAGGGCTTCGAGGGGCTGCGGGGGAGCAGCTCAGCTTTGCTGCGGGGCTGGTGTACTCGCTGAGTTTGCTGCAGGCCACCCTGCACCGTTACGAGCAGTAAGTGACCCCCGAGCCCTACGCCAGGGCCACGGGCCCGGGACTGGCTGGAACTGACATTGCCTGGGAGACCCTGGCCTCACCGGGCCCTCTGCTGGTCTCCAGTGCCCTCTCTCAGTGCCACGTGGACGTGTATAAGAAGGTGGGCAGCCTCTACCCCGAGATGAGTGCCCACGAGCGCTCCTTGGATTTCCTCATCGAGCTGCTGCACAAGGATCAGCTGGATGAGACTGTCAATGTGGAGCCTCTCACCAAGGCCATCAAGTACTACCAGGTCTGGGGCGAGAACCCCGGCTTGGCCCGGGAGGAAGGGAGGGTTTCTTCTGCTGGGCACCCTTGCTCTCTCGTACCCTTGGAGTCCCAGGATACCTGGGGCTCAAATTGCAGTTTGGGAAGAATTCTCCATTCTTCCAAGGCCTGAAGGCCGTCTGCCTCTTTGTCATCCGTCTTCAGCATCTGTACAGCGTCCACCTTGCCGATCAGCCTGAGGACAGCACCATGCAGCTGGCCGACCACATCAAGGTGAGGTGTCCGGGCCGGCGGCTGAGCCCCTTAGAGAGACCAGAAACGGAAGACATCAGATCAGGCCCTTAAGGGGTGTCACGTAAGACTGGGTCAGGGTCACTAAGGCCAGATCAGGGAAGCCAGAGGGCCCACTATGTACAGGGGTCAGCCGAGGGCGGAGACTCCTTAGAGGTGGTGATGGGGCAGAGGGCCTCCTGCTGAGGGCTGAGCGCCGTGCCTCCGTCCTCACAGTTCACGCAGAGCGCCCTGGACTGCATGAGCGTGGAGGCGGGCCGGCTGCGCGCCTTCTTGCAGGTGAGAGCACAGCTGGGTCTGCGTGGGCTCCTCTTCCTTCTCGGTCCCCACCTCCTCACCCTCAGCCCCCATGCTGACTTGGTTCCCCGTGCATTTCCTACTCCCTGACCAGGGTGGGCAGGAGGCTTCAGATATTGCCCTCCTGCTCCGGGACCTGGAAACATCGTGCAGCGACATCCGCCAGTTCTGCAAGAAGATCCGAAGGCGAATGCCAGGGACGGATGCTCCCGGGATCCCAGCTGCACTAGCCTTCGGCCCACAGGTTTAGGG